GCCCTAAACTCCGCGACCCTAGGGGCAAGTCTTGGCAGGGGATTCACCGAAACCTCGGGCTTCGGTGTCCTCCACCGCTTCAGGCCGTGCAGAGGTGTAGAACGAATAATCTACATACATACATACATACATATATATATATATATATATAATAGGGTTCCTTTAATGGGATCCTTAAAAGGGGTCCATAAGGGACCTATAGTAGGGTTCTACAATATAGGGACCTTAATAATGAGAATTGGACTTTGGGGCCCATTATTCTACAATTCTAAGAACCCCTCAAAATAGTATAGGTAATTCTTAAGGCCCCTATATTCGAACGATGGTGGTATGCTGTAGGATATATACGGTTGGTAGTTAGGATGTAGGATCCACATCCAGATAAACCCATAAATGCAAGATAATGCGTGCTCGTGGGCTCCCAACGATTTTGCATCAGATAGAAAGTGGTGAATCTGCTGATGTCCCCAGTCCAGACTTTGAACCTGTCCTTGCCGCACAGACTTCGCGACGTTCGAATGAAAGGGGTTTGATTTCCTGATTCCGGGATATTGTTCTAGGCAAGTGTTCGGTACCTGCTTTGGAGCAAGATGTCTGATTGATAAAAATGTGACTGGACAGTGACCAATATAGGCATTGTGACACTCTGTGTGTGTGTGTGCTTATCCAGTTCAACCACATTGATTTTCTGCCTAGTGCAGCTGGGGGGCCACGTGATGGTGAATTCTTGACCGTTGCCAGAACTAGTGCAGTCAGCGGACGCGAAGGCGAGCCGGCGAAATCAGCGGCTGCTTCGCCTACGGCTGGAGGCAACCCTAATCCACCCTGAAGTTCTAAGTGTTGATGGTGCAGTGCACGTTGACTAGGCCTGCCTAGGTTGTCAGTGTCCGCTCCGCTCGTATCGAGAGTAATGCGCAGGCGTGCCAGCGCTAAGCATTCGAAGGTTCACGATTCATGGTTTGGGTTTACAACTTATCCTGATGCCACGGTTCGCAGCAGCGCAGAAAGCTCACTTCAGAACGGCAACGAGACTACGACCACCGGAACAACCACGAGTGCCAGAACCACCAGGGCCATCACCGGGACGACCGGGCCACGGACAACAAAGACCACCAGGACCACCGGGACAATCCTGAAGATCGTGCCGCCTACGTATTGGCGGGATCAGGAATCTACACAGACGGCCCGAGAAACCTGATCCCAAAGGGTCCAAGTATCATTATGATATATACTTAGACCCCCCCAAAATACCCTATAAGTATACACCCGAATAATACTTGGACCCTTTGGGGATAGTGCAGCCCTGCTAGGAGTTGAGGCATGTCGAGCGTTTCGGCAGATCTGGGGGACTCATGGGACCAGCCCGATAGGCCAAATACGGTTGAGGATATAAATCATGCATTACCCATAATAGGGAATATACCATATTTCCCATAGTTTAGGGCCCTTCAGGTAATGCAGGATTTACATCATCAACAGTAGTACTGCCTTGCGAGGACGATAGGCATCGAAGGCAAACATGAGGCCAATGTAATTTTACAGTGAACCGTGTGTCTTTGGACAGGACGGGCCCGAGAAAAACAAGGCGGTGTTAGTCCCAAATGTGCACCTTACCACAGCACAAGCCCTGGAACTGTCGGTTGCGCCCCAGATGCGATGACCAAAAACCTCTTTATTCTGAACACAAGAACCCCATGGTGTTACCACATTGCTGAACCACTGTTTAGGGAAGTTTTGCAATGCGGATATTGAGGGTGACAGCGGAATGGTAGATAGTGGCCGTAGCTTTTGCCGATGGCCATAGCTACAACCATAACGACAGGCCGAGCAACAATAAAGTTGACTTCGACAAATAAAAGACCACGCGGTTACATTCACGCCGGGAGCAGTGACAAAAGCCAAGACCATGTTCTCAAAAGCCACAGTGTAAGGATACAGCGGGGCAGACAAAAGCCATGGTGCAACTATAGTGTTGATGGTCTGGTAGTAGTATGTAACTGTGCTGTTGCATCGCGAACAGTTCCAGTAGTGACAATTGATCAGTGCAACAAACAGCATCACCTTCGTCTCTCTCGTGTCAAGACAGCATTCTTCAAGCCCAGCACAAAAAGGTTCTAAAGGCCTCGGTAAAGGTTCAAGGTTTTCGGCTTATGAGTTTAGAATGCAGGATTCGGTTGATTTCGGTCTTTGGGTCCCTTCTGACAGAGCTCAGCAGGTGCCCTGCACATTCAACTCTACATAAATCCAAAACTAAAAACTTGAGGCCGGACGTTAAAAACCTATCTTCCTATACCAAAGCCTGAACCCGAAACCCTGAACCCTAAAACCCTGAACTCTAGAACCTCGAAGCCTGACCGAGGACTTAGCAGGTGATGCTGCTGCTGGTTGTACTTGCTTTCATGCCCAATCGTCCATTGATGATGTCTCGATGTTGATGGTTTTGGAGTTATGGTGTCTTCGGAGTGATAAATACCTCAACCATCATGAATGACGAGTTACTGGGTCTCGACCACGTGATATCAGCACATTTCCGCTCCGCTGCTGCAAGTCATTGCTACTACTTTCACTTAGCGCTGATAGCCTGCAAGCTCTCACGGGCTTGTTACTCTAGTACTACTGGATGTTATACAACACATAATTGCACTAGAACGCCGCTACTTCTTCCGACTTCTGCTGCTGCTCCTGCTACTACTAATTACTACTACTACTACTACTACTACTACTACTACTACTACTACTACTACTACTCCTGCTGCTACGACGCGACGACGACGACATTTGCGACTACTACGACGACATGCCGCGACTACTACTTCCACTTCTACTACGACGACTACTATCGTTGCTACTGCGGCTGCTACTGCCACAGCTGCTGCCACTATCACTTTCGATCAGTTTCTTCAGTTTTCCGAGCCCGCGTGATGAGATTCGGTGATACGGTTGATGCCCTAAATCCTGCATCGGTTTAAACTTCCCCACGGCTCCCCTGCTACCCCCAATTTTAATATTGCACTGACACAGAGTCTAGAAAAAGCATTTGCGCGAATGCCCAAAATCCTGCATGACCCCAGGGTGATGCAACATTGAAATTCAGGGGCTGCGGGGAAGTGGACAGCGCGACATCACATATGTGTGATGCTGTAGGTCATGCAAGATTTTGGGCATCAACAGTATCCGTGCTTGGTTGCGATGGTTGTGATAAACACGCACCAGCAGTGGAACCGCTGTCCCGGCCGAATGTATTGCCCGTTCGCGTATGACTCATGATGCCCTCGATGTCATGTGTCCGTGTTGCCACCAACTGCTTGGATTTCGAAGCACTCGGGTTCCACAACAATGCAAATCAAGATGTGTGCAAAGAGATGCCACGAAGAACAGGTGATTGTTGAACATCGCTTGTTTGAAGTGATGCGCAACGTCATGTTTCCGATTTCGTTTCGAGGTGACTCGGCGATGGACCAGCATGACTGTTCAGATGCGCTCCACTAACAGAAGCATTACGCGTGGTACATAATATATATATATATATATATATATATATATGTATATGCAATCAGAAGTTGGACAATGTGTGAACTGTGCCGGCCAACATAGCTCGAAACGCACTAGCATATTCCATACATGTGTCTACGCGGGCTAAAACTGCTATTCAACTAATGCGCAACAAACATCCTTGCGAGTTTTGCGTCAATTGCAGCATCAGATAAGCTTAATCAATACATCAGGTAGGTCAGTCAGATGTTGTAGTGCTGTTGACAACCCTGTTAGGCATCTTGTTTGGCGCCTGCACAGGTTAGCTTGTCTCGCGCGTGTTAATGTGAGACCTCGTTTGACCTGCAGCCCTGCGTCTTGGATCTGTATTGGTGAAAGTACTCTGCAATATCATGCTCGAAACCCCTGACCGAAAAGACAGACGTGACTTATTTTGCGTCATGTCTCTTCACTGTGTGTTCCCAGAACAGCCGAGCTCGCTCAGCGCGCAGACAGGTGGCGACAATGCATCGAGACCCCGCCCTTCTGTGGCATCTACGGCTTCAGGTGCGGCATGTCAAGTCCGGAATTCTGAGGTGTGATGAATTCATTCAGTTTGCGTTGCTGCTTGGGGGTATGTTGCACAAAGCTTGAAGAAGTAATTCATCAATCACAATCCGTTTTCCTGCACACGAATATCGAGTGTGAGGGCACAGCCAATCTTGTCCAGCTGACTGGTGGCGGTTCCGTTGCGAGTTTTCAGGTGGCCCGGTCTGTGCTTAACTAGCCAAAACAAGACATGGTTTCCTGCAGCCTTAGTACAACCTGGGCGAGGGCTTGAGGCCTGTGTGGAGATTATTGACCTTTGAGTCAACGAGTTGGTGCTCAATTTTCGGAGTTGGGCGAAGAAAACATAACAGAGGCAACAGATCGAAACATGGCATTGTCCCAGCTGTGGGTTGTGTGACTGTATTATGGTTATAAAGCCAGTTTTCAGAGAATGGTTTTCGTGTTAGGTCATTCATTCGCGAGTGAGATTCGTATCTTGTCCAACCTCATTGGTTCTGGGATGTTCTGGGTTTTCTGTATCATGTTGGTCGGTAGTTGCTGCACATGCAGTACATAAAGCTGAAAAGTCAAGGAAACCAGATGAAACAAACGATTTGTCGCATGCCTCCAAATTTTTGGAAGCACCAACAATCCGGGTGATGGTACATCGAACCTGTCACAACGGAAAAATCCAAGACCGTCTGCTCGACTGAATCCTTGCAAGGCCCTGTTTCCGCGCCCACAACGCAGGCTGCGACTTGGCCGAATGGTCTGGGTATGAGGTCTGTACCTGTCTGTACCAGGAGGCTTGCATGTCTGTCGGGCAGCCTTGACGTGGGACCAATGGGAGCCCTGGTGAAATTACAAGAATTGTTGGGGATGTTTTGCAGTTCTTGCGTACTTGTAAGCATGGGCAAGAATGCGCAAACTGTGCACGCTCTTGCTTTGCAAGCACGTGATCCGAGGTCAGGGCTGGGGATATGGCGACGGCTGGCAAGTCGGCAGATGACGGCGCTGCACAGGAAGCTGGAGGAGCATCCGCGGTTGCAGTTGCGAAAACATCCAACCGAACGGCTGCAGAACAAGGGGCAGCAGCTGAAGGTGTGGCAGGCGAGAAGGAAGCAGCAGAGGAGGCGGCTGTGGAGAAAGCGGCCGCAGAGAAGATGGCCGCTGAAAAGGCGGCAGCTGACAGGGCAGCTGCTCAGCACGCTGCGGAAGAGAAGGCAGCTGCTGAAAAGGCGGCCGCCGAGAAGGCAGCAAAGGCAGCAGCTGAGCAAGCCGCAGCAGACAAGGCCGCGGCAGAGAAGGTTGCCGCGGAGAGGGCCGCAGCTGAGAAAGCGGCCGCAGAGAAGGCGGCGGCAGAGAAGGCAGTGTGACGGTTGCCGGCCTAATCGTACATAATGCAAATTGTTGTTCATATTCGCGGGCGGTAGGGCTTCTGAACACGTCTGATCCCTCAACCGTCCAGTTAGCAGCAGGCCGCGGCTGACAAAGTGCTTGCTCAGAAGGCGCAGGAGCAGGCCGAGGGAAGCGAGGTCAATCACGCTTTGAAGTCATGCATGATTGTGTAAACCAGGTATAAACATGTTTGTAACAAGTACTACAAAGTGTTGCAATGGGTCTCGATTTCTGCTGTTGTTAGGTGAGATTGTTCTTATATGCCTGATCGCCTAAGTTGCAGTTGTTTTGCTTCTTTGGTTGCTCGCTTGCATGCCCGATTGCTTCAATCCCGATCGTTCCCATCCGTATAGTCTATGTTGCGGCCAGGTTAAGCCGAAGTATAGTGCTAGTTGGACCAGGTCTTTCCTGTAGCTTAGCCACAACAAAACCAAATCAGCGATAAGCCCAGACCCAGTCGGACCCGTGACCGTGCTGTCCGGACTTGAGTTTCAGACTCCCCCATTCCAGTGGCGAGCATCATGTAAGCATTGGCCTCCTATAATAGTTTGCTTGTCTTACACATTTGGGCATCGCACTAACACTCTGCAAGCTTCGCGTCTCCACACCCCGATCCCAACATCTTGGTAAGCATGTTCCGACTCCCTGGCTTGTGGTTCAACCAGCTGCGGTATTCCCGGAAGATCCCTGAAGCATTGAGTAAATGCCCCAAGAATCTAAGCGCATCTGATCCCTACAGTAATCCCTAAACGCCTAAACCCCATGACCCTACACAACCAAAATCCTAAATCTACATGAACCTTAAACTCCCTGAGCCTTAGATCCTAAACCCTACGCCAAAGGAGAGACCCAAACCAACATGCGAGGGGACGGATAAAGACAAGAGAAGCCCCGAGCCTCTACGCTTTGAGCCGACATCCCTACCCTAAACTCTAGGCCTTAACTTACTTAACCCCGAATATCCTTTTAAGGACTTATATAAAGAAGTCATAATAAGGAAGCCTACAAAGGCAGGTTATTCAGGGTCAAGGTAGGCCTGTAGAATCTCGAGCCACATCCTTGTTTGTTTGAGGCGCAAAAAACCGCTCAACAGGCTGGGAGAAGCTTTGGTGATAGAAGACCCAAAGGGTCCAAGTATCATTATGGTATATACTTAGACCCCCCAAAATACCCTATAAGTATATACAAGAATCATACTTGGACCCTTTGGGAAGAGGAGAGCAGTCAGTTAGTTCTTTCTTCGGGTTTCGTCGAAACGTTTGAAGCTTTAGTGTTTAGGGCTTAGGGTTTAGGGTTTAGGGTCTCGTTTTGTTCGAGGTTTGCCAGTATGGGATGTCAGTGCTTTTTACCAAACATCACAGCGACTAGCCGCATTCTTCGTGAGGGCCTCGCAGAGAGATCCCAGTGCTGAGGAAGCCTCAGCCTTGGCCACTTTGTCACGGTGCCTTTAAAATTTTCTAACAAACAAGAGTTTCTACAACCGCCTGAGATCTTGGAGTATCTTTGTGTTTTTCGCGGTTCCTTGGGCCCTTAGAGACACCCTGGATTTGACCGATTGACGGCTGTAGGGGTTTTGCATCTTGGGATTATTCTGAGGATTGTGTTTTGTTTGGGGGGCGTACTTCGGGTCTAGAGTTCCCTGTTGCTGAACCAGTTTTTTTGTTTGGATCTTGGTCTGGTGTCCAAGTTGGTCAAGTTTCGAACTTGAGGCTGAATCGGTTTCGAATTCAAAGACCCTGCACCCTGTGGAAGCAGAAATGGCGTCTGCACAAGCTTACTTGGAGGGTCGGGGGACTTAGTAACTGGTTATTTTAGGGAGTTAGAAGTACCATAACCCCAATTAGGATCCCTTTTAGGGGAACTTATAAGTCTACTTACTACCTACTTACTAAGTCCCCCGACCCTCCAAGTACTGTACAAGCGCAAGCTTCGAGCCCTACAGGGCCTAAACCCTAAACTTCCTAAACCCTAAAACCCTAAAGCCTGAACCGTGCCGCTCTTGAAACTCGGCGCGCTGCATTTCCTGATCTGTCTATCTATCTATCTATATATATATATATATATATATATATATATATATAATATACATATATATATATACACATATGTATATTATATATATATATACATACATGGTTCCTTTAAAGGGTTACTAGAAGGGACTATACGGGTTCCTTTAAAGGGCTCTATAAGGGTTTGGAGTTTCCGAAAATTCGGGGTATCTTATTTTGCGTTCATTGTAATATGAAACCTATTATTAGGGTCCCTGTTTTCGGAACCCCCACATATATATATATATACATACACATATGCATTAAACTGGGTGAGGGCTAAAGAGCTTGGCAAAGCCCGGAAGCAAAAGCTAGGTTTGAGTAAAGGTGTTTTCAAAAGACCTTCAAAATTCCCTTAGACACGGAAACAATATAATGGATCCCGAAGTTAAACTAAGGTACATTCCTCAATTAAGGGATGTTGGAATCTGGACCCAAATGCTTCCAGCAGTTTGTGAAGCATAAGATGCCGGACTGGCCGAAGAATCTCTGATCCCCAGCCCAAGCCATGGTCTACAAGCCGTAAGTCCAGACTCTAATGGACAACCCAAGCTAACCCCCTACTAAAACCTCAACCCCAAATCCCTGAACCCCTACATCCCTAAATCCTAAACCCTGTCCCCCTAAAGCCCTAAACTATTATAAATCCCTTATAGGAGCCCGTATGGACCCCTTTAAAGGAAACCCCTAAACCCTTAAACCCCTAAATCCTCGTTAGAGAAAAGCGGAAGCAGGCTTCCGCGGCGGCGCTCGCCGCGGGCAAGGCATGGCTTACTACTGTAAGCACACGGAGAAGGGTTTGGGGGCTTAGGGTTTAAGGTTTATATAGTTGTTTTGGGTTTCGGGGGTAGGGTTTGGGGTTTAATTGCCCTGAGGGTCCATGTACCGTTAAACACTATACTATGCTTTGGCACCAAAGTGCCTCTATAAAGGGACTACTTTACGGCCAAAGTATAGACTATTTGTGTACATGTCAAGTAGGAAGAGCAGGCTTCAGGCCTCATGCAAGTTGTGTGGAGTTTCAGGGTGTACGACCCCTTGCTTACAATGACTACGACTATGCTTCTGGTTCTTATGGAAGCCCGTTGTGTTCCGGTGCTGGAGGGGATTCTGAATCCAGGGTGTGCCGTAACCTGCAGGTTTTCAGTAGTTTGTTTTGCTTGCTGCTCGTATCATAGGTGCTTTTTGAAAGTAAGGTCACAACATTGCGTCGCTGATTTGGAAGGAGGGCGGTGTACGGTATGATGTGGCATTTTAGGATGACAGTAGCGATGTTGAGAATGCTAAGTAAATGGTGTTGAGGACGACGACGAGGATATGATTTTGATGCTTGTGCTGATGGTGGTGCTGGTGCTCGTGCTGTTGCTAGTCCTGTAGATATTTTTAAGCACTTCTGGTGACGGTGTTTCTGCGTGTGGCACATCGAGTGTGCACACGAACAGAGGCAGAAGCGCATGACGGCGATGATCATGGGCCCATGATGGCAACATCCATGGTTAAAGCAATAATGACTATGACGTGACTATGGTTGTTGGAAAGATGAGTCTGGAGATGCGTAGCGAAAAGGGATATTGCAGCTGATGTTGGTGAGCTGATGTCGCTGATGTCGACATTGCGTTCATTGGTTCGTAGAGATCCCCGTTTCAGGAGTTTGTTTGTGCCGGGGGTGAGCGTTGGTAGTGGCAGTGATGGTCCCAGACCACGGACCACAGTGTAGTAAAAGTGCCAGCAGTCGTCGTCGGTGTCGCCGAAGCCTGCCGCCATGCATGGACGACATGTGTTTTTTGTTTGTTTGTGTGTGTGTGTGCGCGTGTGTGTGTGTGTGTGCAGTTTTAGACAGACACAGACTCCCACAATTGCCTTGTACAGCACAACTATGTACTTGTTGATTCGACTGCTTGTTTCTTTGATTGTGTGATTGCCCGATTGCTAGACTGGTTGATGGGTTGGTTGGCCGGCTGGCCGGCTGCTGGGGTTGGCTGGTTGATGGATTGGTTGATTGATTACCGACTGACTGATGGATTGATTGATTGATTGATTGATTGATTGGTCTATTGAGTCTATTGGTCGGTTGGTTGGTTGGTCGGTCGGTCAGTCGGTTGGTTTGTTGGTCGGTGGGTCGGTGGGTCGGTGAGTTGGTGGGTTGGTTGGATGGTTGGATGGTTGGATGGTGGCATGGTTGCATGGTTGCATGGTTGCATGTTTGGATGGTTGCATGGTTGCATGGTTGCTTGGTTGGATGTTTGCATGGTTGGGTGGCTTGTTAGCTGGTTAGCTGGTTAGCTGGTTGGCTTGTTGGCTGGTTGGATGGCTGGATGCTTGGATGCTTGGATGGTTGGATGGTTAGCTGGTTGGCTGTTTGGTTGATTGATTGAGCAAGTCAGTGAGTGATTTATTGTTTGGTTGCTTTGTTGGTTGATGGGTTGACTGCCTTTGCCCGGAAGACTGGAGTACTCATCAGCGCAGCTGTGGCAGGTAGCGCACTTCCGTAAATTGTATGACATCGTCTCCTGACCGGGGCTGTGGTTTCCGAAACCTTGCAACTACAACGACAGCGGCACCTTCCCAGGCGCAAGCAGCTGCTGAAGCCGAGTTGCGCAATGGACGCCAGGTGTGCTTCAGGGTTTCAGGTTTCGGTTCTTTTGGTGCCTTGAAGGGGTACCTTATTTTGGGGTCCTTACAATAAGGATCCTACTACTTAACTTAGGGTACTATATTAGGGTCCCCTAGTTTCGGTGACCATCGACCTCTAATTCCTGGACGCCACACAGATCCGTAAGACCTACTTTGTCGGGGCTTGAAGCCTGAAGCTGACTTGCAGGGAGTTTAGGGTTTAGGGGTTTAGGGTTTAGGGAGTACCTGCTGATTCGAACGTACTTTGAGGCAGTCTTTGTGTTGAAGAAGTCTACTCCGATGCAGCACCCTAAACCCTAAACCCTGCTATTCCTCCTACCTGTCGCTGCAGGAAGTGACGCGGCTGAAAAACGACATCGAGAGGATCCCTGTCTGTTTTGGCGCGTTACTGTAGGGTCCTAAATAGTTACCTACATCATTTTTGGGGCTCGTTGTCATAATTACAGTATCATGGGCCCCAAAACCCATTTCCAATTATTAAGGCCCTA